CGGAACAAACCGTATTTCTACCCGACATGACACTCTCTCAATACATCACAGCCCATGAAACAATCAGAACCAAAATGATAGCGGCACGCTACCCCTCTATATCAGACCCGAGGACAACTGTAGAATTTCTCATTGACGGACTACGCTTCAATCCAGTCACATCTACAGTAGGTGTCCAACTCATCTCACTAGATCCCCACGATGTCAAGGATTTCGTACACAAATTCAACCGCATAACTTCCTACACCTCCTTCCAAAAATCCACCAGTACGACACAAGGATTTCCGCCTATCATAACTACAAGCGCGAACCAAGACACATGGCGAACAGCCCCCTCCTTTCGTCGAGTGCCACGTCGTATCTCGAACCCATGTAAGTTCCATCAAAACAGAGGCATACCTCACCCGATCCACAGGGACTACGAATGTCGACACCCTCAACACCCTCGTCACCAACGGAAAACAACCACGAAACAATACACGCAAGCTCGTACATTAGCCCCAGACGTCCCGCACATTACCGAGGAAGTGCATGAACACCCAATCATGTCAGCTGACGACCATCCACCCCCGCCATGTACGTATACACTCGACTCCGGAGCTCATCCTTCACATGTCTCCCACACCAAACATATCCCCCACCCGAACTCCTATCGCGCCAAAATGTACACAGCAACTAACGACAGCACCCACTGTACACACCGTGGTCAGACATCAATCAAGACGAATATGAACAACACAATACGCATACCAGCCCTCGTTACGCCGAAGATCAAGTCTAATCTACTATCCGTCCATGACATCACGGTCCACCATGGAAACGTGCTCTTCACACCAACCAAAGCAATCATGTACGCTCGAAACAAAGGCACAACCAGGATTCTCGGAACCGCGCCATGGAAGCACAAACATCAAGCATACACCTGGAGCTCCACACAGAACCACGCTCATAGCGCTCGCACACGACCCTCCAATACTAAAAATACCAAGATAGCGCAACCCAAATCCAATGACCAACCTTCACCCTCTCTCTCACCCTCCCTCTCAAAACCCAATCTACTACTCTCGCAACGTCCAAATACCACCACCGCAAAGCACCACAACACTCAACCCATCTACAAGCTTCTCAACACCCAACCCACACCCACTCCCCCATCCCTGGACATTATTGCACTCCACGACTGGCATTTAAAACTCAACCACGCACCACCCCGCTTCATCCAATCCATTGCCCGTCAACAACTCGTGCATGGAATACCACGCCGCCTCGCCTCGATCTCGGCCACCATATCTTGCTCAGCATGTGCTTACGCCAAACAAAGACCTTACCCGCACAAACCAAAGCAGCACTCCTAGAAACCGTCAGAATACATCAGCTCTGACACATGTGGTCCCATCAATCCTCCATCACTGCAAGGGCACCTGCACTTCCTCTCATACATTGATGCCGCCTCCCGATAACTCATCCTATTCTTTCTCAAAGATCGACGCGAAGTCGGGATAATTGTGCCTCAATTCTTCAAGCAACTTCGCCAAAACGGCCGCCTTCCACGCATATACCGCACCGACAACGCAAAAGAATTCAAATCGAAAGCCGCTCTCCACACGTACGCTGACCTAGGCATACAGTACCTCAACAACACGCCCCATCAGCCCCAAGAAAATTCCTTGGCCGAGCGCATTAACCAAACGATAATGAATGCAGCTCGAGCCAACCTCAAACACGCCAACTTACCCCCATATTACTGGGAAGACGCGGTCAAAGATGCCGCATACAAATACAACATCATGCCGCACACCAGCACCGGATCCACACCATATGAATTATGGCATGGCACCCCCGCTAAACCACCACAACTACTCACATTCCGCCAGCTTGGCACCATACCGGTATACAAACACAAAACCAAACTTCAAGCCCGCGCGATAACAGTACGATATATGTATGCCCACACCCCAGACCATCTCACTGTACAGGATACCCAATCTCAAAAATACCACCAAATCCGAACTCAGGACTTCCGCCCATACGACAAATACCGTGACCCTACTCACACCCACCATCACAGCTTCAAAGCCACTCTTGCCAAGAAGATCCAAGTCCCACTCATCACTCCCGATCCCAAAAATCACAGCGCCGCCCGCCAATACCCTGACGCTACACAATGGGCGACAGCCCACAACAAAGAACTCGACAAGCTCGATGAGACCAACACAATCAAATGGCTCCCAAACTCAGCTATCCCTGCTCATGGAAAACTGATACCACTAACAATGACATATCGATACAAGCGATCCTCACAAGGGCAAATAACTGAACGGAAGGCCCGCTGTGCAGCACGAGGAGACCAAATGATAGCAGGACATCACTATGACCCAGATAACGTCACAACATATATGGCAGAGAAACACACCGTCAGACTCCTGCTATCCATAGCCGCCGCACGCAATTGGACCACAGAACATATGGACATCTCATCCGCATACTTATACGAGAACTACTGTCACAAAAAACCAGTCTTCATAAGGCAACATCCCAGGTTCGTCGGCTCCATGAAACATCCCTGCAAAGGTGGAAAACTAATCAAAAACATATATGGAACACCTCCACCCGCGCACATCAACTACGATGGATTGGTCGCCCACCTCCTCAAGCATCAATACCAACCCACACAAGCAGACCCGTGCCTATTCCACAAACACAACCAGCAAGGCTCTATCATCATTGCAGTAAGCATGGACGATTTCCTATCAATAGCATCAAATCCTAACCTCCACGATCAACTACACATCGACCTCAGTCGAAAAGACCAGGTGAAACGACTTGGATTCCCCACCAACTACCTAAAATGGACAATCACAAAACAAGAAAACCAATCCATCCACATATCTCAACCCATCGTAATCGCCACTATTCTAGAAAAGGCACGCATGACCACATGCAATCCAAAACCTACCCCCTCCCATACAAAACAAACTTAGACGAAGCATCCAAATCCGAAACTCTCACATCGCCGCAAGCAACGATGTTCCAGCAAATCATAGGCGACCTGCGCTACGTCGCAGACAGTACAAGACCGGACATCCACCTCGCCGTCAACAAACTAGCCATAGTCATGCACAACCCCACCATCACTCATAATCAACTCTTAAAATGGCTTCTTCGATACTTGAAAGGAACTCAACGACACGGCATCGAATTCACACGCAACAGTTCCCCCAGTCAACATGCACTCAAGAGTAAGGGGGATTCCGGCTTCGCCAACGACCCGGACCGAAAATCGAGGACAGAGATAATCCATACCATGTACGACTGCCCCATCAGTTGGACCTCATCTAGGCAAACCACAGTAGCCAGCTCCACTTGCAAAGCTGAATATTTAGCGGCATCCACTGCTACACAGCAAACACACTGAATTCGACGTGTACTTGACGACATAGGCCTTCCAGAACCCCATCCAACACCACTATTCATCGATAACCAAGCCACGATACAAGTCGCCAAAAACTCAGCGCCCACCAAACGCAAAAAGTTCATTGACATCAAGCATCACATCATCCACGACCACATCTCCCGGGGCACCATAGCAGCGACACACATCCCAACCAGCGACAACCTGGCCGACTATTTCACAAAACCCCTCGGACGCCTTCGCACAAGTGAGCTCCTGAAGAAGCTGCACGTCAACCCCCCTAATCTCAATCCCCATCGGCGAACCCCACGACTGTCAGACCGCACAATTACATTCGCCGATGGAAATCTCGATAGTCAGACCGCACAGGACAGACTGTCCTGAATGTACGAATATAAGTAGGCGCACAGAGCGACGACGAGGAAATAAAAGACATCGGTCTCGTGTCCACACAAACAATATGCAGCAGTAGGAGATCGACGGGACTACGTGGCGAGCCGAGTGCTGGCCACGGCTGGATTACAGCTGTGGCTGGGACGTTGCTCACCGCTGGGTGAGGACTCAGCTGTGTCAAAGACAGAACTATTGCGAAGAGTGGCCGAGTCAGGCGGCGGTTTGCCGTTTGATGCAAGACACCGATCGAGAGTTGTGTGACGCCATTGAGAATTGGTTTATCTCAAGACATAATACCCTCGGCAGACACAGAATCCCCACAGACTGACCACTTGTGAGTACGTTCTACCGTAGAACTTCTACGCTTTGGGTGGGTTTTTTGAGAATTCGCCTTACCGATGCAGTTTGTCATGATTCCCATGCACAGCTCACACACCTGTACCACGCACACACGTAAATTTAGCACAGATGTAGCGCCCCAGGCAGCGCCGCCGCCACCGGCGCCGCTCCCCTTCTTAGTCGCACACGGTCCGTCTCCCTCAGTAAACTCGGGCATCGTTCCTTGCACCACACAGTTCACAATGACGGAACTGCTCATGTACACGTATAACTGTTGTACAGGTACAGCAAGGCAAATATCGTCACTTCCTTTGTTTGGGCTGTGTGCATCGTCGACGGGCGCAATCGGACATCCAGAGTCTCAAATCGGAACAAAGCCGCGTACGGAGACTTCAACGTCTGAATCTGAAGCAAAGACGTATTGATAGTGTATTGATAGCTTCTGAATTCGTTGATGGTAGGCCCCGACAAAGTCAACTCCTGTTTTTTCATGTTCATTATATCGCCTAGTTCATTCTAGCGAGTCTGGTTCACCTGAGAAGTACGAAACCGTCGTTTCTGGGCCAAAAAGCGGGGTGGCACTTCCCTCACAGCCTTTCAGTTCACGGCACCGAGACAGTTCATCCTATCAGGTACGCAGCTTATCGAGACTTTACTCTGTACGTAGAACCTTTGGTATAAATACAGTACCCTTCAAGGGTAAATTTACTGTTGGTACGAAGAATAAATTCGAAATGGCTTTCTCAAGTCGACTCCAAATCGTATCACAACCGTCCTTAGCCACCTGCCAACACTCTCAGCCGCTCATCCGCCACTCTAACGTCATTAGTCCGCTCGTTGTTGTTTCTAATCTGCAATGGCTCTGACGGCATTCCCCTCCCCATTTCATACTGTTCCGTTCGCTTATCTGACACGCCTGTTCGCTCAGGGGACACTGTGTCCCAGTCGCACGTATGCCACCGATGTGCAGCGCAAACAGTGGAGGGGGGTTGGCGATTTTAGGCACTCTTTGCGTACTGTACGCCGACATATCTTCATCCTCATATCTTGCACTCTCAACCGATATGGTGCAGTAGGGCGTTAGAAAGATAAGTAGAGTTTGTGAGCAATACAAGGCACAGAATAAGTTTCAAATGGCCAAACCAGTTCGATTACCGTAACAAAAATTGAATGCAAGGAGATGAATTATTGTGCGAAAATCGGCTCAAAACCGACAGGGCAAACTGTAGGGACACGATAGAAAAGAATGGCTGCTCTTTTCGCCCAACAAATGCGTTTGACGTCGTAACATTTTATTGAGAATCCGTGCCTTAGAGTCGACTTGCGACTGAGGGCGCAAATGCCGATCACAAAAGCCTTTCACCCCAGAGCTCGACACTGCCCGAGTGTCTCTACTGACATTTATTGTTGGAGCAGTACTCGCACTCGTTGGTATACCAACAGTCAAATGAATCGGAGCAGTACGCCCCACATTTCTTCAGTTGGTGCGCGGCGAGGCGAATCCTCCTCTTCTCCCGAACGGCCTGCGGGATAGCTCTCGGAGTCGCGGCGGCGAGGCAGACGAGCAAGGCGAGTGCGAGGAACAGCGTGAAGAAACGGCTTGCCATGCTGAAAGTCAATAGAAGTGGATATGCTCTGCGTAGATCAGATCGGTCTTGGTACGAGTGTGTGAGAGTCGTACTGGCAGATGCTTGCGTCGAAAGGTCCGTGAGTCGAATGGGGGTGGTGGTGGTAATGAGACAAGGCCGGTACTTATAGCCCTCAGGGCCGTTGGTCTCACAAAGGATATCCGTCATAACAGACTAGCGGCTCACCGAAGGGAAGCATACTGTATGACGATGATACAGTACTCTAGCAAGCTTACGGTCAGATACGTGTGCCTCGCCAACCCAAATGAAGGGGAGGAGGCGGGTGGGGGAAGCGACAGTACATTACTGCATCCAGCTGTTTGGCTCATAAAGCGGTGCAGTTTGCATCCAAAGTTTCGCGGGCAGAATTTTAATCGGAGCGAGATCATTGGATGCTTCAATGATGCGATGGGGCCATCTGGGAGATGTTTCAGATATCACTCGTGCCGGCCGAGAGCGTTTGCAGGCCAAGCTCCTGCGTGCTGTATCCAGTGCTTGCTGCCCCATCGTCTGCCGACACCGACATCGCCCTTCCGCTCGCTTTCTTTCGTGCGCCCTAACGTGTCGGCACGTCTACGGCGGAGTGAGGGGCAAATAGCAAATGTTCCTTGTTCACGCAATGCCCGGAGAACATCTAGCCAGACAATTCCTGTGTTGTGTTGCTGTACTTTGGAAGCAGTCATAGATTCAGTCAGATCTGTCTAGTGTATGGTTTTGTCTCAATGAGGTGTCTCACTGACCCTTCACCTGGCTCCATTGAAATGAGAAAGATTAGCACCGCTCTTTCTTCTAAAAGAGACGATAAGGACTCGAAAATGCTTGTGAAGTGCGAGTTAATTCTCATGCCACCTCCGTGAGAAGCGAGCACAGCACTACCCTGCTCTATCAGCAGTGAGCGGAAAAGCATTTGCTTCGATTCAATTACGCGCTAACCGCGCATTCGGACAAACAAGGTGACATCTCTTCGGCAAAGATATCATCTATATCTTTGTGGATCACCAAATCTTTGCTGGACGGGATCAGCATTAAAACTATAAATCGCTTCCGAGCTTCTTTTTTTTTACGTAAAAAACACCATGTGCTAAAGGGAAATCTTCCCGAGTGTTGTGACATCCAGACGTTTACACGGGCGTGCCGCCTCATCATCCGCAATATCAATCACTCCTAATGTCTATCGGACCGTCAGACCTCATATGAGGACAAAAGGGGTTTTATTTTTTTTAGACAACCAAACTCACGATTCCACTTCTGTTTTTTTGAAACTAGAACGCCATCATTGCAGGTAAAGCATTTGCCTGTTGATTCTCGCGGAAACCAACTCCTTGATGCATATAAAGGTGTTCAAAAGAAAATATTGGCTTACAGTACGCAATTTTCTTTAAGCTGATTTGATACTAGTATAGAAACATCTCCCTGCGGGCTATCTACTCGGTTCTAACTTGTAGAAAAAAAATTAACTGACATTAAAAACCAGTCGTTCTACCAAAGAAAAATAGAAACAGTCGCTATCAAAGTTGAAAAGAAATAAAATTTGCAGATGTTTTTGTTATGATAACGCTTGGCCCAATAGACGTTTGCATCAACTTGGGCAGTTTGACCGACATTACACTGTCGATCGTTCACATCTATTTCACATGAGGTCAGCATGTTCAACCCACACACAACCCACACAGTGGTGATCCGATCATGGATCACCAGTTTTGCCCTGATTGTTGACGAGTGGCATCTTCGGTGGGACACACGCATATCAAAATTGCAAGGGAGACGTAAGGCTCTTCTTCGAGATGTTTGGGGTGATGAACCGGTGTAGCGTCTGCCCGAACAGCACTTCACAGAAGTATCATATTCCGAGATTGGGAAAGAAAAGGATATCTAACTGTTCGCCGGAGGCAGAGCTTTGTGTTCGGAAGCACATTTTGCCACACGTAATAATAACCATTTCTTGGGTTGCCGAGTAGTAGCATGGTTATTGGTTAATGAAAGCGTGTGTTGTGTCAGATAGTGCTCTGGAATCCATTCCTACACTTCGCATCCTTTATTCAAGCAGTGGAACGGAGAGCGCGAATGTACGAATGCAATCAAGTAGACATGCAAGGAAATTTGAAGACGAGTTGCCGCCAATTAGTGCCTGAACGAGAATTGATCTCGTTTGAGGCCAAATGTTTTATACACACAAATTACTTGTCTGGATTTCTCTAGTGTCTATTGGACGGACGTTTTTGATCATGAGGATTTTTCCTGTCTGTCAGAGCATTAGAAAGACCCTCCTAAATACCGTGCATTCTAGGTGCCTTCAAGGGACTTCGACATTGTTTTTTACTCTTACTGTTACTGTTTCGCGGTAACTATGGCTTTCAGTTCTCCCTCTTTGCGCCAGAAACGGCGCGGCAAAAAAGCCTCATATGAAGCGAAATCCTCAAATGAGGCGCATTGTCCAATAGACACTAGTGTCTATCCGACTGAGGACAGCTCTTTTTTTTGCAAATATGTATAAATTAAATTGAACATTCAAAAAGCTACCTTGAGCACTATTTCCTTAACGTGCTTGGTTTCGGCAATAGAATCTTGCATAACACCGGGACACAGCAGAGCTTTGAGTGCACAAAAAGCTTAAGAATATTATCCAGATTGAGCACCAACTTGCGTTTTTGAACAGGCGTTTTTGGTTTCGAAGTTATTTTACATGCGGTTTAAGGATAGTTTAAAAAAGCTTCTTTTCCAGACATATATTAGTAGGTACAGTGAACCCTTGATATAAGGGACCTCCTACAAGCAATTCCTTGATAAATGAAATGGGCGGTGGTCCACGGGACGGCGAACCTCATTTCTGGAACATTACGGCGCGTTTCTTACCACCATGATAGAAGCAAGTATTCACTCCCAGCGCATCATGTGACCCCTCATAAAAATATGCGAATTCTAATATTCTATTTTTGACAAGCAACGGTCAAGAAATGTTGAAGGTACTGTCCATGTCGGTAACAAAAAGTTACCGTTTTTGCCTTCAACTTTGTATTGCCTTGGCTTCTTAAACAAGACTTTGGCATTTTTGTATCCCCTGTCTTTCGTCTTGGCGTTCATTCTAGCCCCTTCACACACAATGGCGCGACACGCCCTCAGTAACAAACAGAAGCACCAAGTTCACAAAGATGTTGCGAAACGGCGGGAGAGAGGAGAATTATTCCTCCTAGCCGATATCTCGAGCTGGGCAAAGAAAGAACTCAGACTTTCCTTTTACCTGTCCAAATCGGTCATTTTTCGCATATGCCGCTGCAAGTCTCTGGAACTCCCAACAAAAAAGGCAAGCGCGCAAACAAACAAGCTCAACCAGAGCTTGAAAAACGTTTGGCCGCATGGATATTGGATCAAAACCAGCGTGGTCGGTGTGTCTCGGGAAGTATGATAAGGGAGAAGGGAAGACGGCTTCTTGCGGATGTTGACGTGCTATTACCAATAGACAGGAAAATTAATCTACAGTTTACGTCGTGCTGGCTTTGGAATTTTCAGAAAAGATGGGGCATCAAGTCCCGAAAATGCATGGAAAGGCTGCCAATGCTAACGATCAAACAGTAACGGACTGCCTACCGAGATTACAAGATATATGTAGAATATACGACCTGGACGACATATGGAATGCCGATGAGACGAGGTGTAACTATTCCATGGCGCCTGATCGCACAATATGTGCAAGTCCAGTTGCAGGCAGAAAAAAGCAAAAGAAGGGCCTAACACTTCTCGTGTGTGCAAATAGTTCCGGGACAGAGAAGTTCCCTTTGTGTTTTATTGGTTCAGCTGGGCGTCGCCGTTGCTTTCAGAAGAAGACAGGAGAGCAGCTCGGATTTTATTATGCCCATAGTAAGAAGGCGTGGATGACGATGGATTTGTTTTTAAGTGGCTGCTTCGGTTTGATTCTTACGTAAATAGGACAACAGGGAGAAAAGTGCTGCTGCTGCTGGACAATTTCTCCGGTCATGGAAGACCGGAAAGGCTACCAGACCTTTCTTGTGTGCATGTGGAATTTCTTCCTCCGAACACCACCTCTAAGCTTCAGCCTATGGATGCTGGTATTATCAACTGCTTAAAGAAGAGATACAGGACCGCTCAGTACTGTAGAGCACTCGATGTTTTAGAAGATAGGGACGAGAATATTTATAATATTGACCAGTTGACCGCGATGAAGTATCTACAGAAGCTATGGCGCGAGATTCATGCTGATATAATTGATGTTTTTCGATCTGTCTGCAAAACAAGATTTTAAACCACCTTAAAACCGCATGTAAAATAACTTCGAAACCAAAAACGCCAGTTTAAAAAGGCGACTTGGTACTCAATCTGCATTGTATTCTTAGGCTTTCAGCGTATTCAAAGCTGCTATCCCGGTGTT